ATTCATATGATTTTTATTCAATTGATTTATCAATTGGTGCTTAACCAAAATATGTAAACTTAAAGCCACGTTTATATTAAATAATTTTTAATCGGATCAATTAATAAATAGATGAATTGTATATTCCTGTATGAATAAATCGGAAATCGATTTGATCGACATGAGTTTCTACTTTTTTTTACTTTTACATAAACAACTGTGAATGATTTAAGATTGGTCAACTCATTTGTTCAGTTTTAAAAAGTCTAATATAAACGTACCTTAAGATTTGATTAGACGAACAATTTTATCATTCAGCTGTGTTATTCACTTATTTCTTATAATGCATACAATATCTAACGACAAAAACTACAGTAATGCATAAAGTGTCGAATTGTTGTTGGGTTGTGAGCTTGCAACGGTACTGTATTGTTCATGAACATTTAACCTAATAATTATCTTTTGTTCACTTGTATCATTCGTTGTGACACATTTTTACATGTATATTTTCTATAATAGATAGTAGGTCAATGAAATATAGATTGTAATAGAAGTAAGGTTCGATACCGGATGACTAGTAATGTACTTCCGTCTTCCCGTTCACCTCTTAGGCTTCCTTTATTATTTGGTTTCATTCTTTCTCAATTAGTTACACCAAAAGTTTTGTTTTCCTTCCGTCTCGTAAGAACTCGTAAAGCTTTTTGTATTTTTATCGGCATTACTTGTTTTAAATGTCTATTATTTCCCATACTTTTATAATTTCTTTTTTCAAAAAATCGTTTTATATTTATTCGTATATTTCTATCTTTTTTTCTTATATATGTTTATTTTTTTTTAAACAAAAAACTTTTTAAGAAAGTTAAATTGAATATAAAATAAATAAAATTAATATAAGTATAAATTAAATTTTTACTTAGTGTCATGATATTAAGAATGTCCACAGATATGAATAATTTTTTTTTCGCGTAAAAATGATTTTTGTAACGTAAATTAAAGAGATCTCAAGTAAAAGATTCTTAAGAATTTGTGAATCTTTCACAAGAAGATAAGATATATGTATATACACGTTATCATTAGTCATGGTCATATTTCACAGTTCAAAATTGCTTGATCATGATTGTAAGAATGAAAGATCGAAAAATTTATAATTAAAACGAAACTTAAACCATTTATAAAAATGATAAATAATCGAAATTGAGTCTAACATATGATTGTTACTTTGTAAAATGCAATAAATTTTCAATCTGTCTCAAAGTAGAATTATAGAGACAGAAAAGGAAGGATCAGACGAAAAAATTGTGAAGCGAATATTATTTCTTTTACTTTTCCATAAGTAAAAATAAACGAATAAGTGATTAATGAATAATCGAATTTCATTTCAATAATCAAACTAAAAATTTGTTTACTGAGTCATATAAATATATGACTTTTTATATTTGACATTACAAATATGCCGCATCAATAACAATTCTTTTATAATCACAAATAATGGTATCGTGTTGTGTTTTACAACAAACAGTAGATAACAAAGCAATGTTTAATCTTGTGCCCGGAAATTAATTGTAACTTTTGATTTAAGAAGTAATTGTGAAATATTCCTTTCTAAGATTTAATTTTTTAACTAATCGAGATTATAATATCGACTATCGGCATTAGTTTGAAAATTCTAGTTTGACCAGTTGAATTCCGGCTAGGTGGCAGCCCTAATCATAGGTAAAATCGGAGAAACGTGTTGAACAGGAATAGCTGTCAGCGTTGTTACGTTGTGTAATGTCGCTCAAAAATATGTATATATAATTATTTTTTATAAGATATATTTTTTAATAGTAAAATCATATATAAAAACATTTATAATCATTTTATTCTTTATAATCATTACATTTGTGTAAAGTGAAATATTGTGATAATATGAATTTAATTTTTAAAATATATCGTGTAATAATAAAAAGGATATTATTCATACTGTTCTTTTTGTTAATTCTCTATCTATAATTTTAATATAATATATCATATAATATAATATATTTATAATATATTTTTTAATTGTAAAAAAATTGAGATTCTTTTAAAGCCTTGATGTTAATAATATATGTATTATGTATAAAATTGTTAGCTATACATTAATAAGTCATGTATTGAATTCTTCATCTTTCTAAATACTATCTTTTACTCTATTAACATTATAATCTCTTAACGTGTTATGTAAGAAAATAATATTTCTAATTATTATCCATCGTATATATATCCAAGATATATACGATAAATCAGTGTCCAAATATTTATTAATAATAATAATTATTATTATTATTAATTGATAATATTCTTTGATAAATTAAATACATAAGAAAAGATATGAGCAAGGAAATAGTATTCAAGAAAAATAAAAAAAATTAAAAATATGGATTAATGACAGTATAGGTTATGTAGTATCAATAATATGTAGTCATTCTCACTATTTCTAATGTTGTTAAATGAATACGATTTTTTATATAAGAAATAATCGAATGTCGACATTCTTTTCATTTCACTTATTAACGGTTTATTTCTCATTCTCGTTAAGAATTGAGTAAATCAAAAATATGATAAGACCGGCATTTCCTAGAACAGTTATTTATTTCTCTCAGTTAATAGACACAACGTATTTTCAACATATATTTTCTATCAAGACACTATGTACCGTAATAAGTATATACTTCTATGTAACGCGACAGTATGTGCAAATGCACATCGAACACACGTGCACACCATGTTTCGGTAACGCGTGAGTGTCGCGCGGAAACAAGCTAAATATAAGTCACAAGGAAAAAGAATAATCTCCCGCTTAGAAACTCGCGTTACTTGACTAAACGGCCTACTGCTCCTGCTCGCATTCGATTTGGGGCATTACACGGTGCATATTGCGTATTGCGTATCCGACTACGGCTGTTAGTGCAACTGTGTCTACGGTGTAAAGCGCTTCGTCTCGTTCTTCTATTAACTATTATATGTTATAAACTCGTGTTAACCGATCTCGATTTAATCGATTATTCTCTTTCGATTTCCGAGTTTGCCGAGAGTGTCGATACCATGATTTTTTCGATAATTACAATGTGGAATATTTGATTCTCAATCGTGAATTGCAATTCAAATATATTTTATTTTAAATGAAATTATATAAATCGCCATCGGGAATATTAAATAAAAAAAATAATGATTCGCTTTATGTAAACTATCATGATTTAATTTTCTATTATTTTTTTCTTGATCTTTCAAGTATTTACTTGAGTAAAGTCCATTGATATTAAAAGGTGAAGCATAAAAAATAAAAAAGATAGAAAAAAAATTACATAAAATAAATACTTAAGATCGATTATGCAAATAGATATAATTATATGCTTATAAAGTTGTTATCGAACTGTTCAAAAATTAATGTGTTGACAATAAATATTATTTCTAGTGATATCTTAAATAGATTAGTAACGATTTTCTAAAATATTTCCTAAGAATGTTGAATTTAAATGGCTGTAATATATAGAATTCAAAAAACTAACATAAGATCAATTATAATGTTTCATTTCTTGAAAGTGAACCAAGAATATTAGAATGTTATATCATATGAGATGCAATTAACAAAACATAATTAATTTTAAAGAAACATACCTTAAAAACATGTTGTATATTCTATAAATTCTCTCTAAATTAATAAGATATATTGTCATATCTTATTAATCATAACAGATTCCAGATTTATAATCCAAGTATATGTGTAAAACAACATATAATATAAAAATTTTCTTGATCTTCAAGAATTCTTGATGACCGTGTTTATTTATAGATATATATATTTATTTGTGTATCAACGATACAGATACAAATGATTCGGTTAAAAATGACAGCGATAATTCGTCTCGAAGATATACGATGCGTCGCGTCGACAGGATGATACTGTTAGCAAGATTAAATTTTCACGCGAAACAATCGTGACTTATATTTTTGTGGAGGTACTGTATGGCACGGTGCACTGTTTGCATGGTTGTGTAATATGTGTGTACGCAACATAATATGGATATAATTGTTCAACGCTGTTGTATAACACAGGTTCCAGCGTGAATCCAGTCACGAACGAAACGTTGTCGTGCAAACATCACAGGACGATCTCTTCGGCTACATTGTACGTGTAATACAGCTGCATCGGTGTTGGATAATTAACCTTGAATTGATCACACGTTTACATTTGTAATTCGATTCGATACTAAACTTAACGCTACGATGAATCAGTCCAATATCGATTCTTTTTTCATCGTCAATCAACATGGATTTGATTGGTCATATCGTCGTTGAATCGCTGTCTGTCCGTGCACTCAAGAATATCAATTGATCAAATTTTAATTCTCGAAAAAATAACTGAATCAAAAGTAACTCATGCCAGTAAATTTGTCTAATTTTCGTACGTATAATTAATATCGCGACTAAATTTATTGCAATACATTAAAATGACATTACCATCGAATTATTTGAAATTGTTAAATCGGTTTAATAGTTCTTCATCTTGACACGTAAAACGAAATACGAATCAATTGCACGGAAGTACAGAATCTAGCAAATTGTGTTGAATGTATCGTGAAGGGTCGTATGGAACTCATGGTATGCCAGTGTCGGGTGTGCCGCTCGAACTGACGTGACATCGTGTTACTACTCTCATTGTGAGAGAGAGAAGCGAGCTAGATGACCACTAGCGAAAACTAATACAACAAAGAATAGTGACTAGAAAAACAATTGATTCGCGGAAATTTTGAAGGCAAAGTTGAATAATAATCGAAATAGAATTAATCGTACAGTTTTTGAAAATTGTGTGAATTGAGACAATACTAAAAATTTTATGAAATAAAATCAAAAATTTATATCGTGATGTCTATCGATCATTTTTCGAAAAGTTCTTCTAAAAAAAATTATTTATGAAATCGTTCAATTCGTATATAACTCGAACAGTATATTATATATATAGATAAACGAAAGAAAAAAATAAACGAATTATTACAATTATAAATAATCAAATAATACGAATGAAGACAAAGATGACACGTATAAATATTAGATTAACTGATTTTATTATTATTATTTCATGGTGTTCTATAAACGGTGCAATCGTTACGCTATACGATTTTACGAAAAAGTATTGATAAAAACATATACGGATAATGCGAGAGAAAAATGGAAGAAGCGAAACATGCGTGGGCTACTTTGAAATCAGTCAGAAAACTATCATTGTTGAATAGTAATAGCAACAGCAACGGAAACAGCAACAAGAATAATTCAACGGCAATATGGTATGACATTCCAGCACCAGTGATAATTCACTGTTGTCACGAATTTCCAGACATGGCCCAATCCGATAATGCTGAGTTGATCGAGAAAAGAACGATCCTTGCGATTGAGAACGAGCAGTCGACGACCGATATTCGGGATAATAACGGACTGGAGAAATACGAGAATGAGGAGACGAGAGAGAAGCGACATAAAAACAGTGTCGAATTGACCGCAGTTTCCACTGTGAAAACCGACGATGACGGAGTACCGAAGATAAGCTTCAGTTTTCTACACGCGAATGATAATCCATCAAGATCTGTCCTCGAGAAAGGTACGGTTATGACGACCGTGACCACGACCACGACCGCGATCGAGAACGAGAATGGTAGAGATGAGTCTACGCAAGATGAATTGTATGACTTTCCTAAGAATTCATACGTCCTCGATGAAATCGAAAGCGAGAAAGTCGTAGAAAGCGAACACAACTGCGAGGATGAGGGCGAGATAGAAACGGACGGTAATGAAATTCGTATCGGCCAAGCGAAATTCCACGTGGAATCGATTGAGGTTGGAAATGTAATCAATTCACCGAAAGAAACGTGCGACGTGTCCCACGAAGAGATCGAACCGTCGCTGGAGAAAGTGAACGATTTGTACGCGAACGTAAGAAATCCAAATTCATACGATCGAAGAAACGAAAGAAAATACGTTAGATCGGAAAGCGACGGATGTGATGAAAAATTTGTATCGATCTCGGGATCTTATTCAGATCCTGAATACTCGAACGATACTTTCTTGAATGTCATTCGACCAAACGGATTATATCCAAAGGTATTAAAGACGAGTTACGGTTTAATCGGATGGCGATAAGGTTAAGGGAAAACTAGGTAATTTGTTGACAAAACTCTCTACTATTGTTACCGTCATATAGATGGCGACACATTGATATAAGCGGTAGATTCGAATATTTTTTAATTATTTATAGGTATAAGACTATGCACACGAGTGACTTTTTACTGTATACTTGTATATTAATTTTCATTGTTTTCAATTTCAAAAACAAAGAAAAACGTGATCATGTGGCAAAAAATTATTTACGTGCAATGGATTTAATAACGAAATAATAAATACAATTATATATTAATACAATTTTACATACAGTTTTAAATAGAATACATAAAAAAAGATTTTTTATTTTGAAATTTTTTATTGTGAAAAATCAAATCTTCACAAAATTAATATTAAAATATTCTTATTTTGTTTCACAGAGGAAAAAATTATAAATATTTATTTTATACACCTTATATTTTTAGAAAATAAAAAACTCTTCATTAATATATTTTATTTTTAGTTTTCAAGTTGATTATCCAATTAGTTAATAATTTAACAAGATACTAAATAATTTAAAAAAAGAATTTCTGAAGAATAAAAATTAAAAAATAAAAATAAAATTTTAATTCATGAATCTTATAACAATTTTTTCAAAATCTTTCTGAAATTATTATGAAATAATTAAATATAATAAATGTATTATAGAATAATTTTCTATATAATTCATCAATACTCAATTTTAAGTTTTAACAATCATTTATAATTATTTGTAGAATAACGTTGCATAGATTTTATAAAATTATTTAATCGTAAATACAATATTTGTAAAAAAATATACTAATATAAAACAATATTCTATTATATTTATTATGTATATTTTTTCTTATATTGTAATAATTATCTTATTAATTGCATATTTTTTATTATTATTATAGAAATAACAGAACTTTCTTAATTCAATATTAAATATAACAAGCTTCCAAATAATTTTCTTAATAATAAAGAAGTTCTACTTTTTGAATCATTATTTTGTATATAATGAATTAATATGATTGAAAATATAAAATAACATAATCATTTTTAAATAAGGTAAATAATAAGGTAAAACGAAAAAATCAAAATCATATAATTATTGTTTAATAATAAAAAAAATTTACAATTGATAGTTTAAAATTAATCTTTGAGATGTTTTTGAAGTTTTAAATTTTTATTTTCTTAATATGTTTTTAGACATATTATTTGATTTTTTAATTTTTATTTTTATTATATCACAAATATTATTTTAAATCTTATATCACAAATATAGTGATAATTTAAAATGAATAATATTTAAAATAATAAGATTTTTAAAATCATAGTTTCTGAAAGATATTATCTAAATTACAATATTAGTAAAAAAGTTAATAATTTTGCAATAGTATTATTAATCAAAAAATAGATTTTGTTAATAATATTAAATTTTAAAAATCTAAATAAGTGCAACAAAAGTTTAAAGGGTATCTTATAATAAATCTAATTAAAACATTATTTTCTATTATGTTTTTTTCATAGATAAATAATATCTACAGTCTGTTTTAATATCCACAATTCGAATCGAATTAATGATTTTTATGATTTTTTAATGATCAATAAATGATTTTTGCCATTTGAATTTGAATGAACGAGGAAATAAATGTGAGTTAGATCGGTGTTAAATTTCTTTCAGTAGTTTATCTTATTCAGCATTTCACACCAAGGTTTCATTTCCAAGAATTGATTGAAATAGCGGACGTTAAAGCAAGCATTATTGTATTTATTGTATTTATAAAAAAATTAAAGCATACCTAATCGATTTCAATGATATTGAAATATGTTGTCAAGATCAACATTTTGAACAACTTCTTTTTTTTTTTTTTTCAATTATTATATAAATGGTCAATAAATGATACATATTGTTATACATCTACAAACACGTATAAGTGAGATTCAATGTTGTAATAATTTTTTCCAAATATCTCGATCATTGTTAAATTAAAACGATTATACGTAAAGGAAAAAATTGTTCAAAATTTTGTCTCTTATTGCCTTATAATATATTTCAGAATCGTGTTTCCATTTCTATATACATTAAAATCCATGAAAATAATTCAACACTAGCAGGGAATTGATCTAATCCAAAAATTTTGATTTAAATAAAATAATTTCTATATTATATAATTCGTTATTCACGAAACAATTTTTTTCCTGACGAAATATTTTATTTATGATGAAATCAAGGCTTCAAAAATTTCAGTTTTTTTTTAAATATAACTCTGTAATGATGCGAAATAGAGTTTTAAAAATTTTAAATTAGAAAATGTTCACATTTTAATGCTCTATCATCTGGATGCAAAAAAAATTTCCAGATAAAATTGTATTCAAAATATGAAAACGCATTGATTTCAGATTTCTTCAAAGAGATTTCCTGTTCAAAAAAAAAAAAAAATTAATTTCACGTGTAACCTATTACAAAAACTTTCATTCAAATCGATAATTTTCAAATCAGGTGAATTTCTCTATAGAACACTATAGAAATATTCGAATATTTCCGTGAGTCAGTATAATCACGAAAGTTAATTAGATATTATCGATTTCAAAAGAGAAATGAATCTAGCGAAAAGTATTGAAAGTTTATTATACACTTAGTTTTCCCTAATATCGAATCTTAATTTTTCCCTTCTCGGAAAGAAAGATTGAGAAAGGAAGATTTATCGCCAAGATCCGATCGTCGTCGTGCCGGTTGCCGGTTTCTCCTCGATCGAAAACGAACACTTTAAAATTGCAGAAACATCGGCTGGGGAAAGCATGGGAGAAAATGCGAACCTGGCTACGCGACGAGACCTCTCGAATCAACGAGATTGTGAACAAACACGCGAAATTGCAAGCTGTCGGCGCTCTTTCCGGGGAATCCGTTGCTCCAACCGTTTCCAAGTCAAATAGCGCCTCTTACGACCTGCTCAAAGCGAAAACTCGGGAATCGGGATCGATCACCAGAATCGAGGAATTCGGTTTGTCCTCTCTGTCGAAAGACGATGTAAACTCTTCTCCGGAGAAAGAGGTGACCGTTTCTATGGGAGAGCAAGTGAAAAATAAAAACGGTTTAAGGAAAAGTATCGCCACCTCGGAGACCGTGTTGAATGAGAAGAGCGAAACGATAGTTCCTCCGGTTTCTTTCAGCATGGACAAGCTTTGCTCCGATACGGAGAACGACGAGAGGGACAACGTGGTCAGTGGAGAGACCGAGGGCAGGGATCATGCTCGAAAAGCAGGTCTAATTAAGAGGAGAATGCTGGGGTCAATCAGAGGGTTAATGGCCTCCACTCATCTTCTTCACTCATCTTCTGCTCACGAGATCGAAGAGGTACATTGTTCTATTTTGTTTAAAAGCGTCGTCCTCTTTCTCTTATCTCGTTTTATCTACCGCAAAGGTGGATCTCCTCCGCTTGTTTCTTCCTTCTTTTCACCTCAATACGTATGTATGCATCAGAATATTTCTGGTCCTGTGAGATAATCTAACCTCGTACTATTGTCGAAGAAAAGTTTAGAATTTTTTTTTTGGAAACACCAACAATGTTTTCTTGATCTGTACGATTCTGTTGTTAAAACAGAATTGTGCAATATCAATTATTTTAAATTTTTTGTTACATCGAAAAAGGATATTTAAAAGAGCTGATCAAAAAAAAAGGAATTTCTATTTTAGAAAATTTATGATTAAAAAAAACGAAAAGTTCTCGATACAATATCGATTAATTATTAAATTTATAAATAATTAAAATATTAATAAAAAAATGTTTAGTTAAAATAAAAGAATTTTATTAAAATTTTATAGTTATAAATATCTATTAATTTTAATATAATTAATTAATCTATCTTAATATAATTAATCTTCACGTCCGATATATACTATATTCTTTTTTAAGATTTTAGACATTTTTTCTTCTTGAAAAAAAAAAAAGATCGTGATGTTTATTACGATTTAAGAAAAGAACCAGTAATATTATAATGCCTAGAAAAACAATATTCTTATTATTATTCTGTCTCAACGTATAGTATAATAAAATTATGAATAGAAATAAAAAATAAAAAATAAAAGTAAAAGTAATGGAGAATAATTTATATTACGTATTATTATAAATTAATTGATCTTTTTAATGATACAAATTAGAATAATTATTTAGTTTTCTTGTTATTCAGTGCTATAAATGTGCGATTTGTGCTCTATCAAAAAAATTCTCTATCAAACTTTTAATCTATAAGATAAATGTTTCAATGTATCGGAGACGATAGTGTAAAATCAATATGATGCCGAAGTATATATCAGAAAATTATTTATTAAAATATTATTTAAAAAAAGTAATACTAATGTCTAAGCAGGAGCAAATAAAAACCAACATTAGTATGCAAATATTGCAAGTTAGTTGATATCGAATGATTCCCTCTAGTTCAAATTTTACAATCGTATTACTCGTAGTTCGTGTCCAGTAATAATTTTAGTGCGCACTTCCTAGATGTCGTTACAAGTATCTGAAACAATACGTCTCACGATCTTTTGAAAAATAATAACGAATTAAAAGTGAATTGAAAATTCATTGAAATGCTAAATATGTGTTATATATATTTTCATTTCAATAATCTTCGCAATAGTTGTTTAATTTTTACGTTACATAATAGATTGCTCTTTCAAAAGATCACGAGACATCCTGTTTCACTTATGACAATGCAAGGAACGACATTGCCTACTAAAACTATCGTTACATACGTAATGTCATCGTAAAATTTAAACTAATAATAGTGAACATTATCAGTTACACGGTTGAACAGAACTAGTTTCTTTCTATAACTAGTTTTTTTCTATAATAGGAACAAAAAACATTTTATAACTTATTAATAATCTAATCTTTAATGAATATTTCTTGATCTTTATGGGACAATACGTAATTCGTATATAGGTTATTTTGTATTTCAATAATTGATATTAAGTATATTATTTAATGATTGATACTTTTAGTATTATCTTTTTATTATAGTTTATTTGGACGCATCTAGTGTAAGAATGAAGCGATATGGTGCAATGACTTATAATTTTATTCTCTATTGCATAATTGCTCAAGCAATGAAAATAATTTGGAATGCTTTAAATCATTACAAGAATGTGTAATAACGTGTTATATCAAAATGCTAAAATTGAAAGTTCACAATTTTAGAAACTCGCTTAAGATTTTAAAAAATATAAATAACGATGACTTTTCAATAACTCAAACACTGCAAATCATGAGTTATGGTATGTTGCAGCAAATGTATGATATCATTATTACGTATCTTTATCAAAATGTAGAATATGTCCTGATGAAGGCTGTTGCGCGAATTTCCATATTAAGAATAGTGGGAGAAATTGGTGTAGTTAGTATTGTGACTCATACATACTGTATTCAAATAGAGATAGAAGAAGAAATAGTGGATATTGTTTGAGGTTAGATTAACTTAGAGATTCAACTAAAAAATAACAATAATAAGTTTGCAAACATTTTTAATAGAAATTAAGATCTTTTTTACATCATAATGCAATATAATAATTTATAAAGATAATAGGATCTTTTAGACGATTTATCACTTAAATAATTGATCTCTATTACCGTGCGAATCGTAAAAAAAAGCTAAAGCCAAGCTTAATTTATTATCGTTAAGCCAATCTGACTTTAAATCAGTGCTTCCCTTTTGCTTTATTTTAACTTCTCTCTTAGCATAATTAAATTAATTAAATTTTGAAAAAAATATAATTCTTCTTTTTAAGTTAAATCTATCAATTCTATCATTTTTAGAATTTTTTATAATAAATATACATAATTAAGTATTTCAAGAGATATTTATAAGTTTTACATGTTTATTAATTTTCAAATAAAGTTAGAAAATTCTTTATGCGCTTTATAGAGATCTAGAAACAGATTTAATTTATTTTTTCTAACAAAGATAACGCAGAAAGAAAATTGTTAAAATTTTAAGATTTCTCATATATGTTGAAATGGTGGAAATTATATTTAAAAAGATAATAAACTTTAAATAATTACTTTTAAAAATTCAAATTTCACTTTTATAAGACATACCTTGCTAGAAAACATTGCCCTAGATTCTAACAATACAATAAAAAAGGATATTTCTTATTTCTTCTCTTCACTCCTTAATTTCCCCTATTATTTTATAATGTGAGAATTCGCACGTCAATAAAAATACATCAATTCTTTCTATGAAAGAACAAGCATTGAGATAATATGACATTTTCCATCTATATAAAGGTACGTTCTCACTGTATTTACGAATCATCAAGGCTACTTGATACCAAGTGTGAATGTTACATGTAGTTTGGACAGCATGACTTGAAATACTAAAGGTATGCTAATCGATTTATCGATTGTCGGTAAACATTTAAAAGAAGCCATGCCAAAACTATGAGTAGAGAGGCATGTTCGACAACATAATCAGATTTTAATTGGTATTTTTAAATCCATCGTTGCATATTCAAGATTAATATCGTTCAAAATTAAATCTTTCGTAAAATCATTTGCATTGTAAATATTTTTATCGTATTGCAAGATACACTCAAAATCTTCGTTTTTTAAATTCTTTTTTTTCTTTGTAATTATATATAAAATATAAATAAACATTATGTACTAGATGCAACAATTATCATCGTGATTTATCATATTGAGATTAAATGTTCATTATTATATCTATAAAATTCAGATATAATTACAAATATTAACAAAACCGAAGAATTAGGTTATTCGTCGAGTGTCTATATAGAGAGAATATGGGTTAAAAACTAATTGAATGTCGTATCATTTTTTTGATGTGATGGCAAGAACTGACAAATGTTGAATTGATTTTAATTGAACTATATTTTGATAAATATTGACGCAATACAACGTAATGCTTTCTATTCGCAATTATGATACTTGAAAATGATATAACAAAGATACGTATTAAATACTTAGATAGACTTAAGTATTTGTTACGTTGTCGTTCTTATATCATATATCGCTTATTAATTTTTTTATTATAATAATTTACGACAATATTATCAGTCTATATAAAAATAGAGAATATGATAGATAAAAAAATATCAATAAAGAAATAGAAGGAGAGATATTTATATGTAACAATTATATATATATATATATATAATAAATTAAGGTAAAAA